CTCTTACATTGTCTTTCTAGCAATAAAGCTACTGGAGTTGATAAGATTTCATGCAAAATTATTAAAATAGCTGCACCTGTCATTTCAGATTCCCTAACATACATATTCAATCAAGCTATTACTCTATCCATTTTCCCTGATGAATGGAAAACAGCTAGAGTAATACCTTTTTATAAGAATGGCCAACGAAACATGCCAGAAAATTACAGGCCAATTTCAGTTTTGCCAACCATTAGTAAAATTATGGAACGAATTCTATATGATCAACTATATGATTATTTAACTAAATTTGGGCATCTAAGTGATTGTCAATTTGGTTTTCGAAAATTTCACTCTACAACTACAGCATTACTGGACTGTACAAACGAGTGGTATATGAATCTAGACAGGAAAAAATTTAATCTGGTAATCTTAATTGACCTAAAGAAAGCATTTGATACTGTTGACCATCAAATTTTATTGAAAAAACTAGAGTTATATGGAGTAAAAGGGCAAGCCCTATCTTTTGTCCAATCGTATATCTCCAATAGAAAGCAGAAATGCCAAATTCAAAACTCTCTCTCATCAGAGAAACTGATCAAATGTGGAGTACCACAAGGCTCTATTTTAGGGCCACTATTTTTCCTACTATATATTAATGATTTGCCTCAATGTCTATATAAAACAAAACCTCGGCTGTTTGCTGACGATACGAACCTGACAGCTTCTGGAGACTCTATTACTGATCTTGAGGCTGCAGTGAATTCTGATTTAGAAAATCTTAGAAAATGGCTAATTGCCAATAAACTTAGCCTAAATGTAGCTAAGACAGAGTTTATGTTAATTGGCTCTAAACAAATGATTAGAAGTATTTCAGATCTACAACTAAACGTTAAAATTGAAAACGAATCAGTTAAGCAAGTTCATGAATCCATAACCCTTGGGGTGACAATTGACCAGCATTTATCTTGGAAAAGTAACACTGAGAATATTTGCAAGAAAATAACATCCGGTATATCTGCTCTTAGACGACTGAAAGAATTTGCTGATAAGCAAGCCCTTCTTTCTGTGTATAATGCTATTGTTCGCCCATACTTCGATTACTGCTGTGAAGTATGGGATGTGTTTGGTGAGACACAATCAAAAAGACTCCAAAAACTCCAAAATAGAGCTGCTCGAATCATTATGAATATGAGCAATGACACAGATCATTCTGTTGCTCTGCAAGCATTGGGTTGGAAGACACTTAAAACAGAAAGAAAGAAAGAAAGAAAGGGAAAGCAAAAATAATGTACAAATTATTAAATAAAATGGGTCCCAAGTCACTCTCTAATCTTTTCACATATAAAGGTGAGAAAACAAAGTATCACCTCCGAGATATTTCAAGTGGTCTTTGTCTACCACAACCGCGTACTAATAATATGAAAAAAAGTTTCATGTATGACGGAGCACACCTATGGAATTCAATTCCAAAAGGAATTAGAGAGAGCAAATCCCTTTCTGCCTTTCGGAAAAAAATCGTTACTCACATTGACTGATTGATTAATGGTTTGTAAATATATCTAAATTACTTTAACTTATTTAATACTATATATCTTATATAATTTTGTAAATAGCTTTTTAGTGTATCTGTATAGTTTGCACACGCCCCCCGTGGAAATCAGCTTCGGTTGACGGGGTCAGCGTGTTTAAATAAAGTTTTTCTATCTATTCTATCTATCTATCTCCTTCATGAGTAAAATTGTCACATAAAGGGTTAACATTATGTTCAATGTTGAATATTTACAAATAAAATATGCATGTAGTGTGACTGTTCAATCAAGCATGTCATGCAAGTCCATCAGTTAAATTTTAGTCAAAACAAGCTGTATACCACAAGTCGGCAACTCCATTCCTTGCATGGTTTGGTAATCCATAAACATGCTCTCGTGCAAAAGAATAACATTTTTCAAAGAGACCATGAAGTACTAAGAATTGGTCTTTCCAGAAAAGATACACACTCCCCCAAGAGAAATTTCCCACCGTCCGGAAGGGTGGGTTGGGGGGGGGGGGTGTTATGTTAAAAAAATGTTTCTGATAATAGTAAGTGTATTTAGTAGATCTGATCTGAAGGGGGTAGGG